AAAGTGGAAGAGGAAATTGATGACCTAAACGTCTAACGAGGAAAATAGGGAGGTAATTCCCTGAAAAGAAGAGGAAAAGTTAAAAGCTAGAAAGCTCTCTGTTGGAGAATGTAAAGATGCACTTCTAGATCTTTTTTCCTAGCAGCACAGGAAGGTGTAACATACACAGTCATGTGCAGGGCTTTAAATTAACACCCGCCGACCGGCCAACTGGGGGTAAAAATTAACTTTGGCAGGTAACATTGTAGAGTTACTAGCCATTTTGGCAGGTGATGAATGAAGCAAATATCACTGCGTCTGTTTGAATCGGCAGGCTGCAGAAATGATGTGACAGATAAGTGTTGCCAGATCAGGCAAATTTGGCTGGTAGCTGTAAAAATCTACTAGCCATGTTGGCTGGTGATCAAAAAAAGTCAATTTAAATCCCTGGTCATGTGATACACACAGATGTGTTTATGAGTATCATTGCTTGAACCTTTGTCTTGTAATGTTAACTCATGATTATGAGAACTGCTAACAGTGCTTAAAATGACACAGCTGCAGGCTTACAACCTTTTAGAATCATAAATGGACTTCTTTGTGAAACCAAAAGTTGTGTCTTGACCCACTAATCATATTGGGCCTTATCTATTACAAAAAAAACATTTCTTATGACATCATATTAGAGATAAACATCTAAGGCAGGGCTCTCCAACCGATTTTTTGTCTGAGATCTACTTAAAAAAAAACAAAGATGGCGAGACCTACTTGCATGACATAATTTAAGTTTTATGTCGTTAAACATATCGAAACAAGTGAACCAACTGAATTAAGCCACTTTTTGGGATTTGCATGTTAAGTCCTTTAAACGGTCAAACGTCATCACCCTCACTACACAGCAATAGAATTACTTGTGGATTTAATAAATTGTATACTCCAACTGCAGCGTAGCTTCGCACTACTCTCCGGGCTGAAGTCATAGACTGGCTATGCTCTGGTGTAATGCGCCTGCTCTCTCCACTCTACTACCTGGATGTAAACAAGTACAGCGAATGGATTTTTGTGTGGTTTGGCAGTATTCAGATCTAGAACACTGAGATAAAGATATATGTAGGCTGTGCCAGGTTATTTCAACCGGAGCATGTAACCACGTCTGGCATTTGGGGGAAAACCGAAGGCTTGCATTGCTACTGTTAGCCACACTGGGCAAACCAAATGACATGGTTAACAAGTTAATATTGGGCTCAATTTTGAATTTTTTCTTCAGACTAGTCAGTTAGTCTGATTTTAAATTTTGAAATTAGTTGCCTAGGAACATCCCTAGTATAAACGTGTCACATGTCAATTCCCAAATCTTACAAAGCACAGAGACTCTCACTGTGTTAGCACCAATGTGTACATCAGAAATAGCAGATATTATTTCACTCGTACTCTTATGGTTCGTTAATAACATCATTGCCCCTGTGTTCATTGCATCTTTCACCATCCCGCTGATGTTGAACGAATTCTTGTGCTTTTTTAGGATGTGCACCACTTCAGATGAGGCCTCTGTGCTGTTCTGTGTTTGCGTTCTTTGTTGGTAAGGTGAATAGAGATTGCTGTTTTTTATTGTTGCTTTGAGGTTGTACAGCTTTGTAGATCACAGCATGCTACCCACAGTGAAGTCCCATCCAAAGTTACCATGGACTTGAGTGTGTTGGCGCTCCACAGGTATTTGATTGAATTCAAGTGGAAAGAGACTTTTTCATTCTTTTTGTACAGTCTGTGAACGTCTTGGTAAGTTACTGCAAAGCTGTAGCTCGTGAGCGTTGTGTTGGAGACCAAAACAAGTCTGTTATTATTCTTTTGTTCTGTTTGCAAAATCACTTTCTTACTTTTCAATTAAAAAGAAATGAGTGTGACGGTTTAAAACCCTTTTTGTGGAAACTGAAATATATGAATCAAACACTGATTGGCTGCTGACTTCTTCATTAATTAAACAGAACAAATGGGATTTAATTGTATCTTGCAAAGACCAGATTGATTGAATTTTTATTGCAAACTTCACAACTAGTAACCTCCAGTTCTTTAATTATATTACTAAGCAAATATGAAGCTATGCAAGCCTTTTGTCATCACTTATTTAAATGCAAACTTCACCATTTCTTTTGACTCAGTGGTTGTTACCTTTAGAAAGCTAATTTATAAGATGGACCAAATTGGTATTTTTAGGGATTGTTTTCGGGTTCTGGGATTTTGGATCAATAGGGGAAAAAACTGGAAAATGTTGCCATCCTTCTTGGCTCTTTGTTTCATTTCCAACACAACAATGTAAAAAATGGAGCTTTGCCCAGGCTTTGCTCTGAGCCTTGGTGGACAACGATTAGCCATGCTAGCACTGGCCATGTGGCTCTGTGCCTCTGTCTCCATGATGTAGTTTCTCAGCAAGTGGAAGTCTGAATGCTCAAAGAAATGCATCCTGTTTTTTTCTTCAACATCAGGAACTAGAGAAGAGGATCAAGCTAGATGGTAAATGGACTTGAGCTTGTCTTGTGCTTTTCCAGTCTTCTGACCCATTCACACACTGATGGTAGCGGCTGCTATGTAAAGAGTCCATCAGTATTAGCTATCCCATTTATACACCGTCAACGAAGCAGCAGGAGCAACTTGGGGTTAGTTGTCTTACCCAAGGACACATTGGACAAGAGCTGGGGATCAAACCCCCGACCCTCCGGTTAAGAGACAACCGACTCTACCAACTGAGCCACAGCTGCCCACAGATATGAGTACGGCAGTACTCTTTTTTTATTTTATTTTATTGGTATGAGCTATATTATGGATGTATTTAAGAGTTTCAGCTTTTTACCGCAAACATACATCATTTGAAGTAACAGCAGGAAAGCTCAGAGGGATAAATCACAGGGAACAGCTATGTGATGTTTGATCCTGGCAGAGAAACAAGAAACTAATCCCTGCAGAGTCACACGTCTTTAAGTCACAGTTTGGCACTTTCCGCCTCGAGGCCACATATGTTTATGAGATCCACCATCCTCTCTGTCTGCACTGTGCAGCTCACATCTAGATACACGTCAGTCAAACTGTTTAAATATCTGACTTTAAACCAAAATGAGATGAACCCTCTATACAAGTTAAAACACTGCAGAAACTGAAAACGTCACCATACTGTGTGTTGAAGACTTAATAACCTTCATCATGTGTGGTTTTGTCAGGTTTTTTAACCTTTACTCTCGGTTCTACATTATGCTGTTTGAACTACTTTAATGGCCAGTTGGCTGATCCTGCTCACTATCAATACGCCGCAACCAATTTTAATCTATTAGCATTTGAAAGAAAAACTAAAATCAGCCAGATTAAGTTCTATTAGAATTCGACATGTGGGGCTCTGGTGGGGCTGTGTTTGGTGGGCGCGCCCCATGTTTGGAGGCCGTGGTCCTCCATGTGGGCGGCGCAGGTTCGGTGACAAATTGTAGCTCCTTTCACGCATGTCATTCCTCACGCTCTCTCTCTCTCTCTCTCTCTCTCTCCCTGATTTCCGGCTCTGTCCACTGCCCTGTCTCTCCAATAAATGCACAAAAAGCCCAAAAATAAATCTCATGTAGTTCAACATTTACTGTTTTTTTTTACTACCTGGATCCTCATTTAATGATTTTTGTTTTGTTTAATAAATCTTACTCGTTGTTTTCTAAGTAACTTCCATTCCCTACGTTGGCTGCACCTCAGAGGAAGAGCTTGTCGTTCTCTAATTGAAGGGTCGGTGGTTTGAGCTGCTTCATGCTTTATACATGTCAAGGTATCCTTGGGCGAGATACTGAACCCCTCATCTTTGTGTGCATGACTGACGAAATAGCAGGGTACTGTTATTGCTGTATGATCGTGTGTGTGAATGGTGTGTGAGTGCTGACATGAGTAAAGCTCTTTGTCTGGTAATAAAAGACTGAAAAGCCACGTTATAAGGGCAGTCCTTTGACAATTTACTGTTGAAGTTTAATTGCTTAAATGAAGTGCAGATAAAATTTTATCTGCACTAAGATTTTTTTTAAGCCAAACCAAACATGAATGCACATAATATTTATTGTGTTAGGTTTCCTAATCTCTGCAGATACCATTTTTGAAAGAAGAAAAATGACGTTGTGAATTGTTTTTATTTTTTCATTCCTTAAAGACAATCAGATCGATTGGTCTTGTAAAGGAAAGATGAACGCCCCTAATGACAAGACAATGAAATGATCATGTGGAGACTTGCAGTATGTGATTCAGTAACAGATGATGATTGCATGAAGAGGAAGGCTTTAGCATTTGCAGGAAAGAGTAAGTTGATTTGACAAGCAAAAACAAAGTGGACAGATCCAATAAAGTGGAGCAATAAAATATGTAATCAATAAAAAAGTTTGCAATAAAGTGGTTATCATCATAGAAGTGAAGAAAATCAAAATGTGAGAATGAACTGTAAGGAGAGAGAGTTCACTCAGAGGACAGAGTTGTGCCAAAACAATTACCTAAAAGATGTCATAACAGCTTCTAACTGAGAGAAACTGCAGAGTCAGGTTATTATTCATTTCAGGAGAATTATTATGCAGGAAAATGAAACATTACACATGTATCATGACATATATTATTTATATATAATATCTGTAATGGCTTCTCTCTTTCTCTCTCTGTCTCTCTCTTGCTCTCTCTCTCTCTTTCTCTGTCACTCTCTCTCTCTTTTTCTCTCGCTCTCTTTCTCTGTCACTCTCTCTCTCTCTTTCTCTGTCTCTCTCGCTCTCTCTCTCTCTTTCTCTGTTACTCTCTCACTCTCTCTCTCACTCTTTCTCTGTTTCTGTCTCTTTCTCTGTCTCTGTCTCTGTCTCTCTCTGTCTCTCCCACTTTCTCTGTCTCTGTCACTCTCTCTGTCTCTCTCTCTCTCTCTTTCTCCTTCTCTGTCTCTCTCTCTCCCTCTCTCCCTCTTTCCCTCTCTCTCTCTCTCTCTCCCTCTCTCTCTCTGTCTTTCTCTTTCTCTGTCTCTATCTTTCTCTCCGTAGGATGCCAAGTTTGTGGAGGAGAGGAGGAAGCAGCTGCAGTGCTACCTTCGCATGGTGATGAACAAAGTGATCCAGACACTGCCGGAGTTCACCGCCCGCCCTACCAAGGAGACCCTGCTGTCTCTGCTGCCTTTCTGTCTGTAAGTGAATACACACAGGCATGTTCGATACTGCAGCTGGGCTTTTTTTATGTGAGCATGTGCACTTGTGTGTGTGTGTGTGTGTGGGGGATGAAGAGAATGTGTCTGCAGGTGTGGGGCATCAACCTGTGAATGATGGATGTAACAGTAAGGTGAGTGAAGGAATCCACACAGCTTGAACATGGTGGTATGAACATTAAATTTCTCTTTCAAAATGTAGAGCTGCGTTCTAATCACAGGAATCCCTCTGTGTTCACTGGACATCAAAACATTGTCAGTTTTTACATTTGAACAACTTTCCAAAAGAATTAGCCGCCTTGCCGTCGTTACAGAACACAAACACTGAGGATTAATGTCAATGAAAATGTCAAATCCCTTGTAAACAAACTCCAGCATTCCCCTGCGTGCTACACTTACACACACGTGTTCACACATACAGCGTATATGTTCTCTCACCCAAACATTCTCGCACACACACACTGTGAGTGTGAAGGTGCACGATGCCCCCGGCTGCCCTCCTACCTACCAGGCTACATCTGAAGATGAGACGTTCCAGTCATTTTCTGTCACATCAGTTTCCAGCGATCAGTCAGCAAGCTTACCCCGTCACGCCGTCGGACCAGAGTGTAATTTCCTCTTTGGAGACATCTGAGTCATCAGGCTAAGGAGACAACAACAACAACAACAACATCACCGTCATCATAGTGGATCTAGACCACAGTGCTGTCTGATAGTAGATGTGTGATTTCAGAATGAAATCAAAGGATAAACTTCTACATCCATCTGTTTACCCAACTCATCTACATAATTATGCAAGATCATTTGGTAACCATGGTAACATTCATTGCGCATCAGCATGTAAACGGAGGGATTTTCTAGAAACATCAGTTGAAAAAAAAGTCAAACAGAGGGGGTGCTGTGATATTTTTCCTTATACAGTATAATCTAATGCATGCTCCTTTTCCTCTTGCTATATCGTCACACCCTACATTATTTATGATGTATGAGGTCCAGTTGTGGTCTTAAATAATTATTCTTATAATCAATAATTGCTTCATGATCTCATGAGAGAATGATTGTATAAGCTGCATTAGAGCACAGCATGACCTGCTCTGAGCTCTCAGCCCTCGCATGGTGTAGAAAAACTCTGTTACAAGTCAAACCTCTCAGTTCAAATGTAAACTTACAGTAAACAAGGTTTGTACAAGCATCAAAATGTAACTGAAGCACTGATCATGCACAAAAGCCCATTTCCATTGTGTGAACATCACTTTAACTTCTGTAGGAGGAACAAGTGTAGAAGTATGGAGTCACATATTCAATTACTCCATTGAAGGGAGAGTATGTGCCTGTGCCCCCGCACTGACTGCAATTCACTAAGAGTGGTCAATGTAACACAGAAGGGATATCCTGTTGGTTGTTTCATGTGCCCCATGTTTGGAGTCCATTGTCCTCGTCGCAGCGGCCCTGGTTTGAAATCAGCGTCGTCCCTTTGCTGCATGTCATTCCCCGCTCTGTCCTCCCAACAGTTCATGTCACCCTTCAGCTGTCCTATACAATAAAGGCAAAATGTCCCAAAAAATAGCCAAAAAAAGAAAGGGCATGATGACATCATCAATACTGTCCAGTGAGAGTCCAGGTGGAGAAATGACATTTTTGTCTTGGTTTGGAAAAGCTTTACCAAGTTAACTAAAGCCTGGTTCAGACTACAGGATAATGGGGCCGATTTGATGTCCCATTCCTCCTTCCAGACAATCGCAGTGAGTTTTTCAAAGATCCAATCTCGACGTCACGATCTGCTCGTAGAATGTCAGGGACATCCCGATTTACATCAAACACGTTTGCGATTAAGGATTCAAAATCATAAAGATGATGTCGTCGGAAGTCGTGTGTCACAAGAGAGGACAGTAATAAGTGGACAGTAATGGCGACCGGCGGCAGGACACCAACCGCACAGGTACACCGGACAACTGATTTCAAAATCAGGATTTTAAAATTCCAGCAGTGTGAGCCAGGTTCAAGATAAGAGCCTCTTAACACTTCTCTTTGTTTGAGTTCCCCATGACAATTTGATTGATTATTTTCATCTTTCTCATCATTTTAAATTAAAAAATCAGTCTAGGATCTAGATAAGCTTCTTTGGGGAAATGTGGAGCATTGGGGAGCTTTAAAGACGGGTCGATTTGACAGATTGATTACAAGATGTGAACAACAGCAGGAGTAACGGAACATTAAAGGCTCTGCAGAGGTATACAGAGTTGTTTTCAATTACTGTAGCCGATTAGACATTTTCAGGCTGACTGAGAGTGGAGCTTTGCGGGGAATTACTGAATGTATGAAATTGCAAATTGAATGTTAAACACTCGTTGTCAAGGGGCATTACACCAAGCAATTACTCACATTCCAAGAACTTACAGAAATCGATACACCATGATGTGAGTAGTAAGAGATGAATTCAGTTTGAGAGGTTATTCTCTGAAGGTTCAAGTCCAGCAGAAGAAGAGTACAACAAAGGCAGGTGTAAACCTCCGAAGCACAGACTTCATTATTATGTCTGCCCTGAGAGGCTTAATAACCCCGCCTGTCTTTCTCATATCTCTGAGCTGAAATAGAAACCTGTCTATTCTGCGGCGGTGAATGGCATGAAATATTACTGTGTCAAGCCTGAGAAGTCTTCTTGGGACTTCATGACTTTACTTTCTGCTCTTCCAACACTGAAATATTGTTTTTCAAAGTTTTCCATGCAGAAGCCCTACCTTCATCTATTTTTACACCGTTACTGCACATACTGTATATATTTGTATTACTCCTGATTTATATCCTGCTTCAACTCTGTAATGACTTTTTTTTTTTACTTTGTATTTATAGAAATTAAAAATAGAACAAAAACTCTGTAATTCTTTTAGTGTTATTTTTATTGAGTGTTTCAGTTATAACATGTACATACATTTTTAATTTGGATTCCATCACCTGAAATTAAAGTTAATAAAAATGAGAGCCTGACCGATTAATCGGCCAGCCGATAATATTGGCCGATATTAGCATATCCAGGGACTATCTGTTTCGCCTAAATTATATGCACCGATATTACTACATTTTTTCACCAGACAAATAGCATTTCACTTGAGTTCTATTGTTTTAAACTAGCAGTTCTATTTCACCAGCAGAGGGCGCTATATGAATTACAACAAGCATTATCACCCTCCAGAGTGTCAAGCGGTGATGCACGTACATGCCTAGTTACTTCCTGTTGAGTGACCATCTTGTCTTCATTATATCTTTTCCACACATGTTTGACAACTACTTTTTAGGGATCATCGTAATAAATGTGTATATCTATCTCCACGGGATCGCACATAGATCTAAGAAGGATATTTGCCCATATATCGGTATGGGATTTTTTTCTCTGTCCAATATCGATATCAGCCCAAAAAATGTCATATCGGTCGGGCCGAAATATATGATAATTAGGACAGAGGTGATACAGTTGCTACAGTAAACGTATGACGTAACAATCACATAGACTGCAACTCTTTTATTAGCTGATCCAAGTTACCCTGCCTGCACCCTCCCCAGTGCTTGGGTTTGGGTGACATAGACTTAATCTTAAACATCTTACCATGTAACATGTATACTTTTCTGCCTCTAATGAATCCTCAAAGCAACAGCACGAGAGGTGATAGTAAAAGACTGACTGGTCTGTCTCTCTCTGTTCTGATCTCACCACCATTACGTAAGGAACTGTTGCTGACGTTGGATCAACACCAGTCAGCATACCATAATACACCTCCATACTTTATGCAAGCATGCTCTAGATTCCCACCTCATTGCTCAGAGGCCTGCCTGGGTTGTCAGGATGTTTAATGGTTCAACATGATGTTGCTGTCTAATCTGGACTCTGTAACCGCCTGTTCGGTTAGTTATGATCAAACTCGTGTTGGTCTAATGTCTTCAGCGAGGGAGGAAAGCCTGATTAACGTGCTCATTAACTGGATGAGTTAGGAATGAAGGCAACATGGAGAGGATGCAGAGGCTCTCTCCATGGCTCTTAATAAAAACCATACATACATTGGTTGGCTTTGTAACAAATGTTCCTTATGAAGAAAACATGTAGTACTATACATTTACAAAAGCAGGCCGAATCTCATGTAATAGCCAGAGGAAATAAATAGACCAGCCTTTCACAAAATAGGTCAAGAAAAAGATATGTAATTAGTTTTAGCAAGCAAAAAATAGCTGACATTGTAAATCCAACATTATATTGATTGCACAGGCCATTTCCATTGAATAGACGGATATAATTAACATTAACATCACCCATTGATTCCATGCCCACAAACTAATATTTTCTCATGTATTTATAAAGGCTATAGAATACTCTACATAATCAGTGTAGAGCTAATTATCCTTTAGTTGCTGGCAGATTTGTGATACAATGGGGAAGGGTTTGAGACACTTGAACACGAGATGACAGATGTTCTTGTGCATTGAGGGAATTTGAAGCCGTTGGAGAAAGAAAGAGGAACGAACAGGAAGCAGTTAAGTGAGAATGGATAAAGAGAAGGGGACAGCTGAGGATGAAGGCAAAGAAAGATGGTCTGGGGTCCGGGGAGGAAACAGAAGAAAAGAGGGGGAGATAAATAAAGAACAAAGGGTGAAGGCAGATTGGGGTTCGGTACTCCAGATCTCGAAGGCCAGATGGATCTCAAAACTCCTTAATGATGCTACACTGACCTGCTCACCAAAAGAGGAGGTAGTAAGTAACCGTCAGTGTCTCAGTGACAAAATCCCTCTTACAGGACAGAAAACATACTACTGTCATTTAAATATAAGCTAAAAGATAAGTCTTTCAAAAAGCAAACTACATGCCAGTCCTCTGGTCAGAGTTTGTCCCAATTAGCAGCTTAGTGATGTGAGCTGGCAGAAAAGTTGCCTGGAAAAGTTCCTCCTGCTTTCATTGAATTCAGCAGATGTTTTTCAAAAGACACTCTTAGAAAAGGTTGCAGTCGCAAAAGCTAGAGTTGATGTCGTTTTAGTTTGTTATAAGATCAAGTCATAGTCCCTATAAGAAGTGGCAGCACTGAAGTGATAGTATTTTACCATGTGGTTTACCTTGCACAACTGAGTTAAACAGACGGTGGGTGTGGGTTTTTAAGGGACCAAAATTCAGATAATGGATCGAAAAAGTTCCAAATATGAAATCACATTGTTTACCTTTGTGGTAAAGTGTACTTCAGAAAACCGTTTCAGTGTTTACCCAGCAGAATGACACGACACCTGTGGCAACGAGTCAGGGAGGTCATCTTCAATTAAAAGTATTTCAAGAAATACAAAAGTAAATACATTACAGTTTTTATATTGGATTTGGTTGTGTATTAAAGGAGCAATATGTAAGATATCTACCTTACTATATCATCAGATACTAAGTAAATATGTTATGTTGAGTGATGTCCTCCTTCTAAGTTTCGATTCAAAATCGGGGTTTATTGCCAAGTACATTTACACATACAAAGAATTTGACTTGGTGTATTGGTGCTAAACAATTAACAAGGAAATAAAGCAGAACTAGCAACAACTTAAATAATACAGTATAAGAAGATATTACAATATATAAAATAGAATAAAAAAATGTAAAATTTGCATCCGGAGTGAATTTCGACTGCAGTACCACGTGTCAGAGTTACATATTGCACCTTTTAAATTAGGCGTGCTTTAATCTCTAACCTATTATATTGTTGTTGTTGTTTTTTGTTTTTTTTTACATATTTCTTTCCTGCAATGGTGGTAGTAGCCATGTTGGAATTATTGCTGTTTCAACCTTACTTCATAGATCGATGTAGAAATAAGCAAATAGGAGGAGCTGAGTGCTTTAGCCTCCTTGAAAGCAGTCCAATCTCAACGTCCCCGATCTGCTCAGAGAATGACGGGGACGCCCACATTTATATCTCACATGTTTGATGTTTTGTATTCAAAATCTTAAAGATTACGAAAGAAAGGGTCTGTGCAGCACAGTAACCACGAGAGGCAACAGAGGACAGTAATAAGTGGACAGTAGTAGCTACTGGATATCTGTAATGCATATTACAATTTGACCTCCAGCTCTTGCTGAAGAATAGACAACCCATGTTATCCACGTCTCCGCAGACATTTCTTGTTTCTTGTTCCTCTTCAAATGAGGTCACGAGGTGGTGCGTTCCTCCGCTGTGCACAATAATTTAAATAAAACCCTGTAGTATGTGCTGTGCCATGATTTTCATATCTTCTCATGTGCAGATGTTGGAGTTAATAGAGAAGAATATGGGTTAGAATTCTCATTATATGTGTGATCCTACTCGATTTAAAAAAACTCTTGTAGTGTAGTGTGAGCCAGGTTTTAGTGAGCAGCCGGATGCTTTAAACTTATGACTTCAGAACTCTGTGGACACACACTCAGTCTGGGTTCTTGCCTTTTTGACCTGCTGCCTTGGAAAAAAAAAAACGGTTACAGCTGTTTGTCTCGTGGTGAAGAAGAGTGTCTTCAAAGTGGATTGAACTTTTTCATCTTTAGAGTGTTGTATCCACCTGTGCACATGCAGGGTGGCTTGACGTGAGAATAGTGCTCTGTGTATGTGTTTGTATGTAAAATGAAGTAAAAATGATCTGTTCCATTCCCCCATTGTGTTAGACAATACATTTTTGATGCATGCTCATGTTTGTGTACCCATTCACTCTAATTGGAGTACTTTGCAGTGAAATTGTTAATATTCCAACCGAGCCTGGGAAAGTGATTATCCAGCACAAGTCAATATCATGTCCAAATGAGGGACAAACACATGCTGAAAGCTGAGGGGGGAAGAAAAAAAAAATCGATAAGCCTAATTAATTTAGCACATTTGGCTACTTTACCCAGTTTGATATGAATAAATGAGATGGCTTGCAGTTTCAACTCCACAAGCTGCTCCCAATTTAGTCCGATTTTTTGCTGATATAACTCCCCATAGCATCAGAGCTCGGCCAACCCTGGTCAGATTCAAATTGTGTAACTGGATGTGATTGAGCTTGCCAGGTGCTGGGGAGATAGGGGAATAAGTTGCCACTCGAGCCTCTGCTAAATGTACATTTTAGTGCCCGAGGAAAAGGAATAATGTTTGACACATTAACAGAGTTCAGTGCGATCCCAGACGGGCCCTGTCACACCTACTCCTGAAATTGTTTGATCTTGATAGTTGTGACAGGGACACGGTGCAGCCATTTTTTTTCTTGTGCTGTAACTGTCTCCTCCATGTCTCGGCGTACTATAATGTGACAGAGCCTCACTATTGTTTTTAAGCCCCTTCTGCTTAACACACAGGCACAGGGTTCACATTCACACTTTCAGCAAAAGCAGCTCGCCATGAGAGAGTTTATTTTAGGCACATGATGTCAGCGTTGGAATCAAACTCCTTACACGGGACTATATACTAGATGACCGCCAAATCTTTAATCACATCTGTAGCATATTGGATGTGCCATTAAAGAGACCAGAGTACACATAGTTTTTACTAAAGTACAAGTACAGATACTGGTGTAAAAGTAGATTAAATGGAGCCCTCTGAAAGACATTTCTACCAGCTGTTTCTGTGCAAAGCTAACTGTGCTAACATCACACATGGGAGAATATTACATGTATTCTAACTTCCAATAATATAAATATTGATCAACTCTAACTTTGCTCCAGTACAGATGTCTGCAAAAATCTACCAAAGATACTAATATTTCTCAGCTGGCATCATGAGGATCATAACCTCTGTCCTTTCACCAGTTTGAAGATGAAACAGCACCAGAACCCCCTGCTCCTGTCACAGAGTCACTGCAGCATTACAGGCAGCAGGTGAAAGGACAGTGTCTCAGTGAAGACGTGCTTCACAAGAACGCAACGAGGAGAGCGTGTAACTCGAAGCATTCACACTCTCTGCTTTTCATTTCCTCCCTTTGACAAGTGCCTCTCATTCATCCTCATGGCTATCAGATAAGACGGAGGGATCAGCCGGGTCACATGTGAAGGCGGTCGTCAGGGCAACCAGGGCAATGATTACAGTTATAAGAAGACTTAACATCATAACAGCATCTTACTATGAATTACTTTCAACTGTGTCATAAGAAAGGGTTTTTAGTTGTAACAAGGGAATATGTAGCCTTTTCTGAGTTAGAAAAAAGGGTTGTTATTAAGGCAACACAAAAGGTTTATGACAGTTTTCTTAGTAGCTTTTCAAATGTAACTTTATAAAGGTCCTGTCAAGTTGTGCTGAAGCCGTGTTCATCTTGTAGTTAAAGTTATGCTCAGTACTGAATCATGTCTTGTTTTAGCTTCTTTTCCTTTTACAAAACAGGGGAAATGCTCAAAGCAAGCCAGAGCTGTACCCACTTTTAAATAGTATCTTAAAACTTTATTTTAAACTGGTTCATAGCATTTGTATTGTTGTACATGTACTTTAATGGATCCTCATATCGTGTTATGGGGTTTTATGTAACTGAATGTTGTACATTTTAATCTGTTTGTTTACACAAAGGCCCAACTGGGGACACGAGTTGGAAATTAGCAATAGCTATATACTCTTTATGCAGCACATCAGTTTCATGCTTTGTATTGAAATTATGTTAAATTGCATTGTGTCTATTAAAATAAATACATTCAAGAACAAGAACAGAAGAGAAAAACATAAATAACTCATAAAGCAGTGTTTAAGTGCTCTAACAAAGGCTGAAGTCATTAGCATTAGCATCAATGGATTGTGAAAATCAAGAGGGACATCAGGTTAAACTTTCTCATTAAACTACATGTTTGTAGTTTAATGAGAGGGGGTGACACAGACAGACAGGCATCTCATGTACTTGTATTGATGTGAAACAGAGTTGAGTGCTACCAAACTATACAGTAAAAGTGAGATGTTACTAATTATTTAAAAAACAACTTAATTTGAATGATTAACAGAAAGAGGACTGCTGTAATGAAATGATGGTCTGGACATTAAGAGAGGGACAAACAACCAGGCACACTCAACAACATTCACAAAGAGTCTAATAAAGAGTCATCAAGTTACCAAAAGTGCATGTCATTGGACTGTGGAAGGAAGTCTGAGTGCCTGGAGAGAACCCTCACATGCACAGGGAGAACCCTTTCCGATTGGGCATTCAAACCTTCTTTCTGTGAAGGGACGGTGCGTACCACTGAGCAGCCCAGGTTAGAAAGAATTTGAACGGTTAATACTAATGGGAGCACAGTTTGTCTGTGAGCTTAACAGTCCTTTTGGCACTGATCAATCACTACCAGGTACCATGCCTTTGATATGGTCAGAATGCATCTCATAGCCTGGAGCAGTTTGGCAGTATTTTGGTTAAGAAAATGCAGATAAAGTTCTATGTAGGCTGTTTTAGGCGCACATGACCTGATTAATGCATAACCACCTTCAGCACAGGCATGTGGACGTAAACCTGCAAGGAGAACCAAAGGCTGGTGGTGTGGATGCTACAAACATTAACCCCACTCGGAAATGAGTTGCCTAGGATTGTCTAGTTTTTACCAGGTTTTGTCTTGGATAAGTCCTGAATTCATCAAGGAGTAATGATGGATTTAGGTCTCCAGTGTTTTTTTTGGATGATATAAACGTCATCAGATGTTCATTGAAATCTCACACTCTTTTCCTCTCCTTCCTGCTCTTTCCTCTTTAACAGTGACACACCTCAGGCCAACGATGGTGGAGCCAAGACGCCTCGATCCAAAACTTCATCCCGTTTCCCCAGACTGGGCCGCAGAGGCAACCAGGACGCCAGACCTGAACCCCAGAGTGGTGACCTTTAATCCAAGAGCCTTTGGAACTGATTATTGCTCAAAATATAGGCTGAGGACTACGATGGATATTTGTCCAAACCTGGACTGTGGCACATAAAGGGCGTGTAACGGACCTTCACAGCCTTGCAGATGAAAAGCCTCCGTCAAGGAGGGGGGGGGGATGCAGTCGGCATCGACATCACAGACATCTCTGAGAGATATGTAAATGTTTTTGTGCATTTCCTGGCTGAGTAAAAAAAAGAGAAATGATTCTCTCAAGGCTGCCTAACAATGAACCCAATCATACAGCCTCTTACCTCACTGAGAGACTACAAGACCCTTTGTTCACTGCACATGAGCTAGACTGGAGTCTATTATCTTAAACACAACCAGATGACAAGGACAGTTTTTTTTCTTACTCTTACTCTCAGTTTTTTAAGTGAGAGTGTATCCTGGTCACAGTGCCTACAGTTGGTAGCTGCTTTTCTGCTCCAGGTGAGGGGAGGGGGGTGAAGAGGGGGTAGATTAAAGCATCCTCTTGGGGAATTACTCTTGATTCTCTGCTAATGTGTCAGCATTATGGTGCCATTATATTTTAGATAGTAATAACTCTCAATCTCTAGCGTGGACCAACAGTCGATGAGCATTCCTTTGTCCTACGTATATATTGTATTTGAATTATTGGTAATCTGCAGGAAGTGTATCATACATCTGGTTCTCCAGAGATGCAGTTAATATCAACATCGCGTTAAGATCACATCGATGATCATATGAAAGGACAAACACAGCTAAATCCAACACGTCTTAGTGACGGTATGGAAATGAATGGTGTGGGATCTAAAGGAAATCTTACATTTCCCTTCACAATAAAACAAACCTACACAACTTAATTTATGTTCCAACTTTGACTCAAAACAGACCGACTGCAGAGTGAAACAGTGACAGAAAGATCCAAAACTTTACCTGACAAGAAAAGGCGGAAATGTAAATTAACTTTTACAAAAGGGGCCATCTTTTATTTTTTTGTACCCCCTTATAACTTTACTCCAGTCCCTTATTAACAATTCAAAGGTTGCATAATATACTCCTTTCCAACAAGTTAAAATAATTATCAGAGAACCTCAAAACATGTCTGTGAAGTTTCTTGTTAAATCCACTCCAGTCCTGTATCGTATCATGCCTATGAACCCCTCTATTTCAGCCCTGCTCAGAACAGCCTGTTTCTGTGTCTGTACCTTTAAATGTAAATGAGCTGTGTCTGACCACGCCCCTCTTGAAGGGCTTGAGTGGCTCAGGTTTTCCCACCATGCCTAACTGTTTAGACTGAGAAGTCAGACTCAGAGGGCAGAACAAACACTTAACTGTGGGTGTGTCATCCACCTGGGGGAGGGGTTACTGCCCTTTGTGATGTCACAAACTATGGTTAAGTGCATTTTGCATAATATCTGACCTTTAAAAGATGTTTTTCCTAACATCCACAGATTTCACTAAATAGATTATTTCTTAATATCAGAGCAGAAAGGAAGGGAAACACAATTTTACCTTTTAACATAAATGTGTGGGCTGTGTTTTGGGTGGTTAACCATCAGGGACATCACATAAATAAGGATCTTTATCAAAGGTTGGTCGGCCACAGTGATGAATTAAATGTTTAAAGATTGTTCAACTAATGTGTCTTAACAGGATCTCATGCAGCGTTATGATGCGAATGAATGTTTTAACGGCGACTAAACACTTGAAGCAAAAGCTGCTGGTTACGGTGCACGCAGAAGAGCCGTGGAGCATTGAGTGTGTGTAAAACAGAAGCTCATGCATATGGATGGCTCACCCAAGAGGAGACGCAGGCTGTGTTCAAACGAGGATCGATTGTGTCGGAAAAACTTGAATCAAAGGGTCGGCTCACAAAATGGTAAACATTGTTCTCACTCGTCGGCGGGGGGGTCGGGGTTGAGGTGAACAAACACGCTTTGTTGGTTTTAATTAAGTTGTTTTTCTTATAGAGAAGTGACCCTCACAGGTTTCCCACTACTGGTAAGCACTGCACAGCGTTGTTCCTCACAGGGATGCTGTCAAATGTTTATTTTTTATCAAACTCCCCTGAAGTCTTAAACATTAAATGCTGGTGTCAGTGGTAAATATGTGGCGAGCTTGCTGGAAGAAAAGACAAGATAAAGTATCAAAAATTGTTTTACACATGAACCTTTATTTTTTGTTTGACAAATTGCTCTGCAGTTTCTCCCTAACCACAACATGTAATGTAACATACACGTGAATGTTTTTTTTTATTCTTTTTTTTATTGAAGCTACTTTAAGTATCTGCTCTGATTACTACAGAACTGTAGAACTGCCTTGTATGCTTTTTTTTTTTTTTTTTTTTAAATCAGCCAACAGTATCTAATATGTCCTGTATTGCTCTGTAACAGCTTTGTCACACAGTCTGTTTATCATAATGAGAAGCCTTTACATAGACAAATCTCACAGTAAAGGTAATGATCAGTGAATCTCTAGAATAATGGAAGCCCTGAGCGGATATGCATCCATCCATCCATTTTTATTTGATCCATTTCTGGGTGTTTCTTGAGATCTGGAATTATTTATCTCTTATCCACAGAGCTTCAAAAGCACAAAAACAAACAAAGAAAAAGGCTTAACTTGTCTTATTAGTGTGGGTAAGGCTGCCCATGGGGGGGGGGGTAAAGGGGAAAGCTTTTCGCATAGGGAGGGCCCATGGAGGTTTCCAAACATCTGGTCCATCCTAATTTTTAGCAACAATGACCAAATTTTACACCTTAATATAATTTCCTCTGTGTCAAAAACACACTTTTGATTTATTGTTGCTTGAGTAATATGTACCCTGTTTCAAAATCTAAAACCCTTCTTCTAAAATCATATGAACCATTTTTTTTGTAATCTTACCAATGTAAGGGAGCCCAGAGGAAGCTAATGTTAGCCAGGTGGCTAGCGCTAACACAACTCAAATGTGAATACGTTGATCTGAATCATATCCTGGGAGGGCCCAGTCACTGGACCTTTAAGGGGGCCAAGACATATCTGCAGGCGGGCCTGAGTGTGGGCAATGGCAGCGTGTCCTATCATAGTGACCAGTCTATTGTTTGTTTTTTATAGATTGCCAGAAGATGACCCCATTATCACAAGATACGCTTTGTTGCCTTGAGATATTGAGATTAATTAATCTGTGATCATCCGGAGTAAATGAGAAATAAATTGTAGAAATAAATAAAACTTATCTCTGGGGAAACCAGTGTTGTTGTCATAAGATAACAAGTTCAATAAGTTGAGATCTCAAGAGACCATCCAGAAATGAGTCATTGACGCAGGAAAATGGAGAAAATAAAAAGAGTGGCTGCATAGGGGTCTCTGTTCTAGAGCCTTTGGGGGATCTAAGTTTTCTGCACAAATGTCTATTTCTATGTGCACGCTGATGATCTGTAATTCTGCACATTAAGATATTTTTAACAACTTATTTCGCCATGGAGAAATGTCTTTATGTTGGGCTCATCACATTCCTTGTTAAAAGGACAATTATTTGGTATTTGGTGGTTCAAAGAAGTATTGCAGTGGTCCAACAAGCCTAACAGCAAGCTAGCAACCATGTGGTGTCTACAATGCAGCTTTTGAAACTATTCAATCCAATAAACTTTACAAAGGGGTTTTAATAGGAGGAAAATGCATTCAGTACGTTTTGTGCACTGCAGTATGTTTTTTGTGAGTCATGCTGAATAAAAATGGAACAGTTATTGGATGAGAGGAAGAATCCCCGCAGCACTTTTGAGTTCTGAAACTTTTTTTTTTTGGTTTCAGCTATCTGAAGAAGGTGGTGATCCCCTCTCTCCTGCATTTCAATCACATTTGAATCAGGATTGTTCTACTAAAAAGTCAAATGATCCTCCTTTCTGTTGAGAACACACAGGTGCAAACTGAATATTAAGAAGAGCAACAAAAATGCAGCACAGTTACATCCTGCTGACCATGCAGGGTCTGCTCCTACATCCTGAGGTGTGATCACAAACATCACTTTCTCTTTAACGGCTCCATTTTCCTCTCTCAGAACCTTCAAAACGCTGGCTGAAATATGGATCTGTTCTTTGAGGCTGGGAATCAAAGCAAAAGGAAGTGGGTTTAGTTTATTGAGACACAGCCAAAGTGTCCTCTTCTTTGCAGGATGCCATGTCTGTATTAGTGGACTTTTTATTCTGTTCTTGCCTTAGTCAGCAGTCAGGTTTTTATCTCTCAGCGTGGCAGCAGAGAGGGGCTGAACAATAAAGTACAGTGTGTACAGTATATTACAAACGCTTGTGTGTCAGTGATGTCATTGTTAACCATGAGAATGTGGAGAGAAACTGAAGACCTTGACACATTTCTGCTGCTACAGTAAGTTTTCCTGTGTGAATTAACGTCAGCGGGGCCAGTCTCTCCCCGCCATACCAGGACTGCCTACTTACCACTGAGAAGTTGAATGACTTTTAGTGATAGTTCATTTCATGTACTTGCATGTATGGTTGGTATAATGGTGAAATGGCAAAGCAGGAATCCATCATAGACCTAATATGTTGTTATGTTATGTAGACACTATTTTGTGTAGTCTGTTGTACCTTTCCTTCTCTTTGTAGAAAAACTACTAACAGATTAAGTTTTGTTTTTTTCTAGCTGGAGCTGAACTCTTCATCATTTCTCCTCCCATCCTGAAACATGCGTTGGGGCAGTGTGCGTTCGGATGAGCAAGAGAGAGAGCGAGATGTAAAGGCACGTTTATTTATAGAGCATCATTCATACATTAATTAATATGTTCAAAGTTTTGGAATCAAGCCCCCCCCCCCCCCCACCAGAATGTGGAACCCTCTGTGACTGCCTGCGTTCACCATGCTTTAAAGGCTTTATATGCGATTTTTTTTTGATCCAGCAGATGTCGCCCTTGAGCACCAGCATGAAACCAAAACAACGTGTGCTGCATTGTTGTGTTAGCATGCTAATGCTGGTGATCTTTATTATGCTCGTATCTTCACACTGCATGTAAATTTACCTGAAATGAGCGTGATCTAGAAACACAGTTAAGCAGTGAGTACAGTATGTTATTCTTCTTTTCTCTAGTCCCTCAATTAAACAACTTTTATACGCGAGGGGAGGAGTCAGCCGGCCGTCCTGGCTGATGTAAACAAAGTGAAGATAGGACTCTGAAAACTCTGAAAACATCACAGACAGTGGGACTCGGGTGTTACACCCATTGTAGACAGTCATGACTCACAGAGTTATTTTCAGAGGATATACTTGATTTCTATTATATTTAAGTGTGACAAATCGCCTACAAAGCCTTTAAGCTGGCCCTCTGTGTCACTTTACATTTCTGCATCCATGCCTGTGTAGGGACATACAGAACACTAGGTGTGAATGGAGTCGTATGAATGCAGATGTGAGGTGTGTGCTAAAGCGTGCATGTGTTTCCATGTCACATTGAACTCTTCAATGCACACATTATATTCTGCATATGAACTGTATGCATAAGTGGACGGATAGATTCTGTGGATTTCAGATTGGCTGCATCTGTGGCCCTCTGTTCATCTGCTCTGCTTGTCGAATAGTTATTTAACCTTCACTGCTCTGCTAAGCAGCCTCTGAGCTTTATAGAAACTGCTGAGCCATTTTAGGAAACACTTTTTTTTTTTCTCAGCTGGGTAATCCGTACGGGGTCGGCAGACAGAAGAATGGCAAGGATGTACAAAATGCTCATTGTCCATTGACCAGAAAATTGGTTACGGGCCCATTTAGGACGTGGATGGTTGCCTTTGGCAATGATAGATAATACACACTCACACATGCAAACAAATGGCTGAGTGCAAAGCCAAGTATAACACACCTCCTGCAATGTTATTGTTTGAACAGAATGGAAGAATAGCCTGGCTCAGCTTTGACATGCGTCTGCGAAACAAACTTCACTCTGTCAGAATATGTAAATGAACAGATTCTCGGCCTACATAAAAGTCTTACTTTAGTAGATTTGGTGCAAAGAAGGAGATAAGAGGGTCAGAATGGATGGCACACATGGAGGCACAAGTCTGATTTCTAATCAGCAACTAATGCAAAACACCTAGGACACGCACACACAGCAGCGATGTGACCTTTTTGATTGGATTTTCTTTCCTTTTATAGCAACTTTCTTATGTGAGTTGTCAAGCTTCTAG